AATATATTTACTGGCCTTCATCCATCCATCCGTCACTGATGCTGGTGAATTTTCCTTTTCAGCTGTCTCTTTCCTTTTTCTTTTGAGCTTGTTTACCCTCTGGTTTAAGGATCTCTCATGTTTTGACTATACTGTGGAGCAGTGTTAGAATATAGATATTCAGGCCTGTCTGTAAAGGCCTATACTCTAAGAATTTAGGTGTATTCTTATCACTTAGCTAGTTATAGAGGTATAAAGGAAAGAATCAAAATCATTGTCTGCCGGTGTAAGGTCCTTCTCTTACTGTGACAGTCTGAGGCCCTGTGCTTAGGCTAAGATATCTGGCTAAGCAGCAGAGGCAGCCATAAGCTAGGAACCGAATGGTCACATCCTCACATTCCAAACTAGTCACATTGAAATAACGTGCTATTGGGCTGTTAGGAATACAGTCCTGTCCTGATAATGCCTATCGCCTCCAGAGAAAGGGAAGTGCCTAGAAGATGTAAAAGGAAACTTAGTTTGATAGCATCCTGTCTGGCAAGAACTCACATATCAATAGCTGGGATGTGAAATCCTCATTTCTGTGTTTGTTCTATCACTGTAGTCCCCATTTCCCTATTGTTTGTCTGTATAATCTCTGTCTGGTTCTGTGATTGTTTCTGTGTGCTGTATAATTAATTTTGCTGGGTGTAAACTAATTAAGGTGGTGGGATATAACTGGTTAAATAATCATGTTACAATATGTTAGTATTGGTTAGTTAAATGTCAGTAAAATGATTGGTTAAGATATAGCTAAGCAGAACTCAAGTTTTACTATATAGTCTGCAGTCAATCAGGAAGTGGGTGGGTGGGTGAGAGAAATGGGAACAGGGAATGGGAGCCGGGAAATTGGAATCATGTTTTGCTAAAGGGGGAAATGGGAACAGGGAATGGGGGTGGGGAAATTGGAATCATGTTTGGCTAAGGGCAGGAATGGGAACAGGGACACAGGTGTAAGGCTCTGTGGTGTCAGAGCTGGGAAGGGGGACACTAAGGAAGGAAACTGGAATCATGCTTGCTGGAAGTTCACCCCAATAAACATCAAATTGTTTGCACCTTTGGACTTCGGGTATTGTTGCTCTCTGTTCATGCGAGAAGGACCAGGGAAGTAAGTGGGTGAAGGAATAAGCCCCCTAACACAGACACATTATTATTATAAAACACATGAAACTGTCTTGTAAACTTAAAAAATAAAATATTAATTGGGGTGTTTTTCTAATTAAAAAATCATAGCTTTAAAACAAAATAATCCATTTCAGGCTGTACAACAAACACAGGTTTTGAGTTTATTTCTGCCACTTTAAAAAACAACAACCCCCAAACATTTTTAAAAACACATCTCATTTTGCAGAATAAAAACCAAACTGCTTTAAAAATCAACTTTTAAAATCCATTTTAAAACACATTTTGCACAGTAACCCGTTAGTCTGAAACACAACACACCATCAGTTTGCAGCCATATGCTTTAAAAAAACCCCAAAAAACCAGCAATGTACTTTTTAAAAAACACACCTATGTTTCGTACGCGCGCGCGTGCACGCACACACACAGAGCAGTTTAAAACACCAAACCAACAGTTTGCAACAAAATACTTTCCAATACACCCACATGCATTTAAAAGCCAAATGCAGAAAGGTACCTTCTACCACAGGATAAAGGATTGCAGGCACATGATTGCATAGGTGCCGACTCCATGGGTGTTCTGGGGCTGGAGCACCCATGGGGAAAATTGGTGGGTGCTCTGCACCCACTGGCAGCCAAGCTCCCCGCCCCCCTCACCTCCGCCTCCTCCCGTGTGTGCACCGCGTCCCTGCTTCTCCTCCCAGCACTTGCCGCCGCAAAACAGCTGTTTCGTGGCATAACAAGCTCTGGGATGGAGGGGGGAAGAGTGGGAATGTGGCACACTCAGGGGAGGAGGTGTGGAAAAGGCAGGGCTGGGGTGGGGATTTGGGGAAGGTGTTGGAATAGGGGCGGAGTTGGGGCGGGGCCAAGGGAGGAGGGGGCGGGGCTGGGGGCAGTCGAGCACCCACTGGCGCCAACAGAAGTCAGCGCCTATGCATGGTTGTTCTGTTTCCCCCCATGTCTGTTTGGGTCTTTGGGTTAAAGAACAAGCAAAAATGTTAGTTAGTATTACCCTCAAATCCCTGTGTAATACCTGATTTTTTTTTTTTTTTAGTTTAACAATATTAAGCAGAACTATAGTTAAAAATGGTTTTCATCTTGGCGTGGTGGTGAAATGCAGCTTAAAGTTACTGGTTCCATGCTAAACAGATCACACTGCAATAAAGATAAGTACCATTATTTAGTAAGGACAGCATGGCCAAAGAGTGACATTATATAATATTATTTTCAGAGTTAAAACCATGGAGCATATCTCCTCTTGCAGTCCAGCAGCAATTCAAGAGAGTTTCTGTTGAAAGAGGACAGTCTCCAAAATACCTGAGGTTTTTATACCATCCTAACTCTTTGTTTCAAACAGACTTCAAAAGTCTGTAGTTAGCAGGTTGATCTGATCACCACAACTCTGAAATAGCAGATAATTAAGGACTTTAAAAAAATGAGGAGTACTTGTGGCACCTTAGAGACTAACAAATTTATTTGGGCATATGCTTTCGTGGGCTAAAACCCACTTCATCGGATGCATGCAGTGGAAAATACAGTAGGAAGATAGATAGATAAATAGATAGATATACACAGAGAACATGAAAAAATGGGTGTTGCCATATCAACTGTAACGAGACCAATCAATTAAGGTGGGCTATTATCAGCAGGAAAAAAAAAACTTTTGTAGGAATGATCAGGATGGCCCATTTCAAACAGTTGACAAGAAGGTGTGAGTAACAGTAGGGGAAAAATTAGCATGGGGAAATAGTTTTTACTTTGTGTAATGACCCATCCACTCCCAGTCTTTATTCAAGCCTAAGTTAATGGTGTTCAGTTTGCAAATTAATTCCAATTCTGCAGTTTCTCATTGGAGTCTGTTTTTGAAGTTTTTTTTGTTGGAGAATTGCAACTTTTAGGTCTGTAATTGAGTGACCAGGGAGGTTGAAGTGTTCTCTGACTGTTTTTTGAATATTATAATTCTTGATGTCTGATTTGGGTCCATTTATTTTTTTGCACAGAGATTGTCAGGTTTGGCCAATGTACATGGCAGAGGGGCATTGCTGGCACATGATGGCATATACAGTATCACATTGGTAGATGTGCAGGTGAACGAGCCTCTTACAGTGTGGCTGATGTAATTAGGTCCTATGATGGTGTCCCTTGAATAGGTATGTGGACAGAGTTGGCAACGGGCTTTGTTGCAAGGATAGGTTCCTGGGTTAGTGGTTTTGTTGTGTGGTGTGTGGTTGCTGGTGAGTATTTGCTTCAGGTTGGGGGACTGTCTGTAAGCGAGGACTGGCCTGTCTCCCAAGATCTGTGAGAGTGAGGGATCGTCCTTCAGGATAGGTTGTAGATCCTTGATGATCCGCTGGAGAGGTTTTAGTTGGGGGCTGAAGGTGATGGCTAGTGGTGTTCTGTTACTTTCTTTGTTGGGCCTGTCCTGTAGTAGGTGACTTCTGGGTACTCTTCTGGCTCTGTCAATCTGTTTCTTCACTTCAGCAGGTGGGTAATGTAGTTTTAAGAAAGCTTGATAGAGATCTTGTAGGTGTTTGTCTCTGTCGGAGGGATTGGAGCAAATGCAGTTCTATCTTAGAGCTTGGCTGTAGACAATGGATCGTGTGATGTGATCTGGATGAAAGCTGGAGGTATGTAGGTAAGTATAGCGGTCAGTAGGTTTCCAGTGTAGGGTGGTGTTTATGTAGCCATCGCTTATTAGCACTGTAGTGTCCAGGAAGTGGATCTCTTGTGTGGACTGGTCCAGGCTAAGGTTGATGGTCGGTTGGAAATTGTTGAAATCATGGTGGAATTCCTCAAGGGCTTCTTTTCCATGGGTCTAGATGATGAAGATGTCATCAACATAGCATAAGCAGAATAGGGGCGTTAGGGGACGAGAGCTGAGGAAGCCTTGTTCTAAGTCAGCTATAAAAATGTTGGCATACTGTGGGGCCATGTGGGTACCCATAGCAGTGCCGCTGACTTGAAGGTATACATTGTCCCCAAATGTGAAATAAAGACAGAAAGTTCTGCCACCAGGTTTGCAGTGACATTATCGGGCATACTGTTCCAGACGGCTTGTAGTCCATCTTTGTGTGGAATGTTGGTGTAGGGGGCTTCTACATCCATAGTGGCCAGGATGGTGTGTTCTGGAAGATCACCAAAGGATTGTAGTTTCTTCAGGGAGTGAGTGGTGTCTCGAAGATCTCGTAGGCACCCCTCCCCTAACATTCCCTTTTGTGATGTGGGGTGGGGGAATTAAGTTGTCTGCACAACTGGGCTGCTTTTGGCTAATTTTTTTTTCTTTTAGTTAAAATACATTTTTCTGTAGGGCCTTCTTACAGTATTAAACAGTAAATCACCAATCCTTAATGGAACTGTACCCATTTCCAAGTGGGGGCCCTTTGCAGATATCAGTGAATGTCTTGGGGCTTGTTTTTTAAACATGTTTCTTCCATGCTTAAAGTTTGGGGGTTGTTTTTGAAATAAAAGGGGTATATCACAACCATAATAAGTACCCTACAAATACCCATAACTTTTAAATGTTTGATTGTTTTTAGAGCAAATGCTTGTTCTAAAGTATGGTGGAGGTTTATGAACCCTTGAAACATTTCAGTTTTGTGTTAGACCCTTGTTTATTTTTTTTGTAAATATATTATTTTAAACTTTTAATGACTTTGAGTTGCTAGAAAGAGTGACCCATAGTGTTCAACCAACTCCTGGATTATATTTAAACTGTCCAATAGCGTTCTACCAACTCCTGGGTTGTTCAGGAGTTGGTAGAACGCTAAAACTGTTCAACAGCATCTGTGAATTCCTGAGGTTTTATTTCATTTCATATTAATCAGAACTCACCATCCTCACCCACCTACCTCCCTTACTGTGAGTGCACACCTATGAAGTTTAATTACTGATCACTAATACATTAACCCTGATGGCAAAAAGGGTGAGTAATCTCAGTCACCCTGGCTATTCAGTGGGAGTGTGGTTAAAACCATTCAGTTCAACAGGATGAGGCAGCTCTATTGTACTAAAACATGTCTGAACCATCCCTATTTTTTTTTTAATTATAAACACATTTTTAGGATTTTTTCCCTCCCACAAGATTTTACAACATACATTTCAGCTTTCTGCTGTCAATGGGTCTCCTTTACACAAAGACACAAGAGCTAGGTTCTCACAAACATTTTTTTTTTATTTAAAAGACATACAGGGCCTTGAAAACAAACCAAGATGCTCCATTAAAACTTTTAGCTCACTTAAGGGCCACACTTAAGGACCTTCTAACAGAAACACAGATAGTCACAAAGCCCTTTTCAATAATTTTTTTTTTTATTTACAGCTACCAAGTTTTAAATTGCTTGTTTGTCCCCTCACCATTCTCTAACTTAATCCTTTTCGATTTCTTACAAATAGTCTTCTTCTTAAGCAGGGTTCTGTAACTTTTTGTGTGGCTCAGACAGTCAATATAATGCTGTAAGCAGGCATCTTCCTGTTTGGTCATTTTCTTTAAAACACGGCCAGGGTCTCCACTGAATTGCACAGCATTTATCAAGGTCACCCCTTGCGCTAAATGTTCTTGAGCTAGGCACAGACATTGCATAGCATAACCTATGGCAATAACAGTGTTTAATAAGCTTTCCAAACACAGCTCAGCACACAGGCCCCAGAGCTTGCAGTTTATATACACTGAAGTCCAAGTCACACAGACATGGTGCTGTTGGGCTGGCATGTCTATGACACAGCCCTCACAATCTTTGAAAAGCTTTTCCCTAAGACAGCGATTAAGGACAGCATAAACAGCAACGCGTACAATAGTCCGCATTACTTTTTTATGCTCACGACGTGGCACTGGCTCAGTTAGTTTCATGCCAAGCTTCCTCCTAAACTCTTCATAGCTGTCATCCTCGGAGTCCTCTTCAACAATTTGTATCAGTATTGAGCAAAAACAAGGCGGACCCTGTTCATCTTCACTGTCTGATGCAACACTGTCCAGGGTCTCTGGGTCCTCTAGAAAGGTATTGTTGAGCTGTTGAGAGATTTTCAGAAAAGAAACAAGTGTAAGTTCCCACTGCTTGTTTTTAGATTTACACAACCCCGGTTCCTAACACCATTACACCCCATCCTCGACCATCACTTCTTAATTTTAATCTTAATTTACCTGAGCGATGTCTTTTCCATTCACCTTGTCCACTGGTGACTCCCCCAAGCTGCGTTTGCCTTCCTCCTCCAGGGGGGGTGGACAATGAAAGGCCGCCATGCTCATCAGGGTGTCTCATGAGCAGTTGGGTTTCGGGTTCGGGTTCCAGCGTATCCATCAACAGCTGGGCCAAAGGGTTCCCCTCGTCCGCTCCCTCCTCCTCCTCGGAATTGTCGCTGATGTAGAATGGTCTCCGCAGATGGTCGAAGGCTCTCAGGGCTAAAACAAAGTCTGAAGTTCTCATGGGGGTGGTGAAGGAGTCCATGTTTCCTATTAGCCTTTCCACGATTTCTAAAACACGTGTTCTTGGTAAGAGATGGCCTCCTCTGCCCAGCGCTGGGACTCATGGGGTGATGATGCTGCGCTCTGATTGGCAGAGGGCGGTAGGAGGAGTTCTTAGAGGGGTCACACAACCCTCTTCTGGGCAGTTTATCCCGTCCCAGAACCTGCCCTATTTTGGTCAAATCTGCTCTCGGGCGGTCCTCTGCGGCCGAAACCCATCAGAATTGGTAGAGGGTGGTGGGAGGAGTTCTTAGAGAGGTCAGACAACCCACTTCCAGACAGGGTCACTCCGCCCCGGAACTCCCCCCAATTGGTCAAATCTCCTCTCAGGGTGGGCCTATGTGGGCAAAACCCATCCTGATTGGTAGAGGGCAGTGGGAGGAGTTCTTAGAGGGGTCACGACACACCTTGCTTCCAGTCATGTGTCCGGCTTGACCCCGGAAGGAATACCCCAATGGGGCAGGACTTCCAGTGACAGGTGGGTGGGGCTTAATGGGCCAAGGGGCAGGGTTAATGTTTGTTTGACAGTAGGGCCCTTATAATACTTCTGAGGGCAAGACTGTAATTCTGAGTTCTAATACCAACTCAAGAACCGGACACACTCTCTGGACGTGGGCAAGTCACTTAACCTCTTCCTCTTTTCACCATATGTAAATAGTTGTTATAATCTTATCCATCTCACAAGAATGTGGTAAACATTATTTTATTTATGCCCTGATTTTGCAAACATTTTTACATTTGCTTAACTACAAACATGTGAGTAGTACCACTGAAGAACTCACAAATTAAGCATTACACATTTCAGGACTGGGACCTTGATATTTTTCTAAAAGTAAATATCTCTAACATTTGAGCACCTCAAACACATTCATAAGTTTTTCCTTACAATATTCTATTGCGTTATTATGGCTATTATCCCAATTTCACAGATGAGGAACTGAGGCTGAGAAAGAATAAATAATTTATATTTTCTCTACTCATCAAAACATGTAAGAAAGGAGGAGGAGGGTCTGCAGATATATAAAGATCTGCAAAATCTATGGTGCGTAACAGCTCATTTTGGCACAACATGTGAACGGGTTGGGGAGAGCAATGCCACGTCCCTTCTCAATCAAGAAAATCCAAGACCAAGGAGCTAAGTAGAGCCCACAGATGTATTCAGACCACCACCCCCCCCCGACGGTATAAGAAGCCTAGAAAACATGTGATCATATATGCCAGCAGTTCTCAGATTGTGGGTTGGGACCCCAAAGTGGGTCACAACCTCATTGTAATGGGGTTGCCAGGGCTGGCATTAGATTTACTGGGGCCCAGGGCCGAAGCCAAAGCCCCACAGCCCAGCGACAAAGCCAAAGCTCAAATCCCACTGTTGGGGGCCAAAGTCCAAGGGCTCCAGCCCTGGGTGACAGGGCTCAGGTTTGGGCTTTGGTCCCCCTGCCTATGGTGCTGGGGTCCGGGGAGGCTCAGACTTTGGTCCCCCCTCCTGGAGTCATTTTTGTTGTCAGAAAGGGGTTGGGGTGCAGTGAAGTTTGAGAACCTCTGATACATGCTTAACATCTGCACAATCGACTGTGAGTAGCATCTCACGAGGGCAGAGCTTATTTTGTGGGAAAGCATTTGGAAGAGTACCACCACCCCTTTCTCCCCTAATCTGACCCCTGGTTCACAGTTTCATTTGAACTGCTTTTTGACTCTGCCCAGGCTTGTTTTAAACCCAGATAAAGAACTGGCAGAAACAACCTGATCAGCAAATTAGCTGGCTCATCCTGAGAAGCCAGTGTAGCTCTGGCTGGGCTTGCCTGCTGGCAGCTGTTCTGTAGCAAGGTACTGCTCCCCATGTGTGGCTCAGGTCCTCTCACACAGCTGAGTGAAACCATGCATATGATGTGAAAAGAACAGGAGGACTTGTGGCACCTTAGAGACTAACAAATTTATTAGAGCATAAGCTTTCCTGAGCTACAGCTCACTGCATCCGATGAAGTGAGCTGTAGATCAAACAAATTTGTTAGTCTCTAAGGTGCTACAAGTCCTCCTGTTCTTTTTAGGGATACAGACTAACAGGGCGGCTCCTCTGAAACATGCATATAATAACTGGTACCCTCATTCCAACCCACCTGACCTGGCTTCCGCTCCTACCCAGCGCTCCCCCTTTCCCTACAGCAGGCAACCGGCAGACACCTTGCAGAATCTGATTGAACAAATAACTCGCCCGCCCCCCGGGCTCTCCCCCGCCCCCCAAGCGCGTATCGAGCCAGCCTCCGCGGATCCCTCGCCCAGCGCCCTCCGGCAGAGGGACCCTTCCCTTTCCCCTGTCCCAAGTGAGGCAGCGCCCCGCCTCTCCAGCAGCGACCGGGGGGCGGCGCCTCTTTTCCACCCCTCCCCGGGCGGCGAACCAGGCTACAGTCCTGCCCCGCCCGCTGTCCCCCGCCAGGCCCCGGCACAACAAACATCCCAACCGCCCGCCCGCGCCTCCCCGCCCCGAGTCCCAGCCTGCCCTGGGCGGAGACGTTCCGCTTGCCCTCAGCGGGACGTTGGCTCCCAGCCCGCCCCTGGCCTCCCATGGTGCTGTGCGGCACAGCGCGCCGCCATTGGGTGGATTTGAAAAGGGACCGCGGCGAGTCTGACGGTGTTGCCGGCAGAGAGGTCTCGCGCCCGCCGCAGGTGAGCGCTGGGGAGGGGGCTGCTGATGTCGCGGCTGCGGCGGCGGCCAGAGCTGCACTGCGAGAGGTCGCTTCCTGGCTTCCCTTTCCCTGGACGCCGCCTCGGCTTTCCCTGTTTGTGCGCTGGGGACCGTGAGCGGCCCGGCCCGGGGTGGGAGTCGTGCCCCTGGCATAGGCAGCCTGGGGCCGCCTGCCCTGGCTCCCAGCGCCCTTGGCATGCCGGGGTCGGGGCTGGTGCGGCCGGCCCCAGGCGCTGCGGTGTCCCGAAGCGCTGTAGCAACGGCAGGGGCGATGGCTGGGGCTGGGGGCGCTGGTCCTGCAGGAGTTTCCTGAAGCAGGAATCTCGTGGGTTGCGGCGGTTAGCTACACGAGGCTTATCGAGGGCCGACTTCTTGTTATTGGTTGAGTGGGGGGCACGTTAACCAGCGTGATTTTTAAAATCTTCTGGTAACGGATGGGTGGCTGACTTCTCTTCGTGTGTGCCTGGGCGGGTTATTGCCATGGGAACTTAGGAAAGCGATAGTAGGAAAACTCTCTCTCTTATCCATAACCAGTGGGAATCTACAGGCGAAGTGCTATACCTTCTGCAGGCTTCAAGCCTGTATTTGCAAAAAGTAACCATCATGATTAGTAAGGACGACTTCCAACCAAGTGTGAAAAGGGAGAGGAAGAGAAAGCATAGGCCTCCTCTATACTGGGGATTAGGCCTGGTTTCAGTTATTAGTGAGGCTGCTCTATTGGAAACCTGTGTGTCAATGAGAAAAATAGAAATGCACGAAAGGTTCTTACTAGGGTGAAATAGGGGAAAAGGTCACTAGTGCAAATTATATGTTTCTTTGTCTATGCAAGGGACTTGCACTTCATGGGGTTGTTGTCACTGACTTCACATCTTTAACTGATTTGCCTTCAGTCTCCTGAGTATCCCCTGTAGCATCGGTTCACAACCACGGGTCTGTGGCTCCCTGGGGGACTGTGAGCAGGTTTCAGAGGAATCAGTGAAGTAGAGCTGGCATTAAACTCACTGGGGCCCAGGGCAGAAAGTCAAAGCCTGAGGCCAGTTGTGACGGGGCTGAAGCCTGAGCAACTTAGCTTTGCGGGGCTCCCTGTGGCATGGGGCCACAGGGAGTTGCCCTGCTTGCTACCCCGTAATGTTGGCCCTAGATTTTATATGCAGAAAAACAGTTGTTGTGGCGTGGGGGTGGGAGGGTGCTGTGGAGTTCTTACAGCAGAGGGGGCTCCGAAAGAAAAAGGTTGAGAACCCCTGCCCTGTGGCCATGCCCACAGAGAGTTCCTATCTTGAGCTATTAATTGAATTTAAGGCACACTTGTTTGTGTCTGAATTAACAAATGTAGGGAATGTGAGAGCATAATTCTGAGACATCTAAAGCCCTTTTAAAAGGAATTTAAGAAGGAAACAGAACAATTTGCATTGCACCAGGTGGGGGAAAAAAGAGCACATGGAGCTTCCATCATCCCCAGACTCCATGATGCCTTTTTCTCAGGTTCAGTGAACTTTACTTTGAGGGGTAACCTCAGAAGAATCCATTTTAAAGGTTTACTGATCTACAAAGACGGGGCTGAACCTTAAGTGATTTGAATCAGTATGCAATATTTTGAAAGTGCATAAAGTAATTTTTTCTGAAAGCTAGTGATTAATATTGTGAAATAGTGTTAATACATACATCTGAGGAAAAAATGGGTACTGAATGATATTTAAAGTTTAAAGTCAAGCACCAGTACTGTTGGAATTAAAGTGAATGTTAATTCCATTTAATGTGGCAAGCTGGTGGGTTTTGGTGTCTTAAAGGAATAAACAAACAAACCTTATTGTTTCTTTGAGCTGTCCAGGAGAGGGCTGGACATTACAGAGAACACAGTTTTTGGAAAAATCAGGACTTGAAGTGTTGACCAGGCAAAAATTGTGTCCACTTGATTCCACAATTGACTAGTGGACACCTTGGTTTAGTGTACACCCTGATTAAAACTGCTCTAATTTATACTTGGTGGTTGACCTCTGAAGTGGCAGAAACAGCTTGAAGAGACACTTGTCTGGATTTTGGGCAGTGTTGTTCTGAGATTCGGGAAGTGTTAAAGGGCATATGTAGAAACGGCTAAATATTCCACAATCCCAGTATCCTATCTTCTGACTGGCCAATGTGAGGTTCTTCGGAGGGAATGAACAGAATAGGGCAATTATCAAGTGATCCATTCCCAGCTTCTGGTAGTTAATGGCTTAGGACACCCAGAGCATGGGGTTGCACCTCTGATCCTCTTGGCTAATAGCCATAAATGGATCTATTCTCCATGACCTTACCTAATTCTTCTTTTGAACCCAGTTATACTTTTGGCCTTCACAGCATCCCCTGGAAACAAGTTCTACAGGTTGACTGTATGTGTGAAGTACTTCCTTTTTTTTGTTTGACCCGTGATTCTTGTGTTGTTCAAAGAATAAGGATACTCCACTTTGTCCACACCATTCTGATTTCATAGACCTCTATATACTCCTGATGGCATTCTGCACCAAAAAAAAAGTTCTGTGCACAATATTTTAAAATTCTGCAAATTATATTTGTTAAATAAATGAGGCTCCAGCATGTCATTGGGGAACACAGGCCACTGGCTGCACAAAGGTGGGAGATCACTGTGCAGCTCCCCTTGGGCGAAGGACTCAGCGGTGAGGCGGTGCCTGCTCCTCTGTGCCAGGTGCACCAGGTGTGGGCAGGCAGGCTCAGCAAGGATCCTAGTGTGGGGGGGATCCAGGTGTGGGTTGAGAGGGTTCTGTGTGGGGCAGTCTGGATGCAGGCAGCTCAGTAGGAGATCCGGGTGTGTGGGGGATCTGGATGCACGGGGGCTTGGGGGGGGGGGAAGGGCAGGGGAGGGGTTTCTGGGTGCAATGGTAATTGGACTCTGCAGGGGTGTCCAGATGAAGGTGGTTGAGGATCGGGGGCAGGGGGGCAGAGTTCAGCAGGGGGATATAGGTGTGCGGGGACGGTCCAGACGCATCTGGGTGCGAGCAGCTTATCAGGGTGGCCCAGGTCAGGGGGGAGTTTGGCTTATTTGGGGGGGGTTCTGAGTGCAGGTGGGGGGATTAGGGAGTCTCGATGCACAGGGGTTGGGCAGATGGGGGAGCAGCAGCTCCCTGTACAGGGATCCCTCCCGCCGCATCTGAGAAGCAATGGGTGCAGGAAGTGGGGGAGCAGGAGGGGGCGTTTGTAGAGCTTCCTTCAGTCAAGGGAGAAATCTGGGGGTGGGTCTGACTTGGCTCCAGATGCTGTGCAAGGGAAGAGGAAGTCCCGTCCTCCCTAGCCCAGCTGGGAATAGCAGTTGAGCCTGGTGCAGGGTAGGAGCCACCAGCCAGGTTTTCCCCAGTCCCGCTTCCTCCCCCACAGTGATCTACTTCTCTGCCAGCTGCCCTGAGCCCCCAAAACATATTGCTGGGGAGGGTCAGAAAGTCATCCTTCTGCAAGGAAGCAAAGAAATCTGCAGGGGACATAAATTCTGCGTATGCACGGTGGCAAAGAATTCCCCCAGGAGTACCTCTGATATCTCCCCTTAGAAATGTGATGACTAAGCTTAATAGTCCTAGTCTTTTTAATCTCTCCTCATCTGGAAGATGTACCCTATCCCTAATCGTTTTTGTTGATTGTTTCTGTATCTTTTCCAGCTGGAAATGGGAGACAGGGAATGGATCACTTGATGATTACCTGTTCATTCTCTCTGGGGCACCAGGCACTGGCCACTGTCAGAAGACAGGATACTGGGCTAGATGGACCTTTGGTCTGATGCAGTATGGCCGTTCTAATTCTAATATCTTTTGTTTTTGAGATGGGGTAATCTGAACTGCACACCATATTCAAGGTGTTGACTACCATGAATTTATGTAGTGGCACTATGATATTTACTGTCTTCGTATCTATCCCTTTCCTAATGGTTCCTAACATTATTAGCGTTTTTTACTGACGCTGTACATCGAGCCAATGTTTTCAGAGAACTAGCCATGATGTCCTCAAGATCTTTCTTGAGTGGTAACAGCTCATTTAGACCCCATCATTTTGTATGTATAGTTGGGGTTATGTTTTCCAGTGTGTGTTACTTTGTATTTATCAACATTGAATTTAATTTGCCATTTTGTTGCCCAGCCACCCAGTTTTATGCGATTCTTTGGCAATTCTTTACAGTCAGCATTGGATCTTAATCATCTTGAGTAATTTTGTATCTGAAAATTTTGCCACCTCACTCTTTGCCCCTTTCTCCAGATCATTTATGAA